AATTGATTCAAAGCTTAAGATGGCTACTTAAAGAAATAAAGCATACCATTAAACGAAGGCACTGAAAGCGATAGAGATATCGGTTTTATGGTTTTGATCCGGCGGAAGAAATGTCCAGAGTTATCCTTTCCATTTATTCCTACCATAAAGTCCTGAAAATCAAAATCTCGGATAATTTTCTTTCTTACAAAAAAAGCGTATAAACTGTCAGCTGATATAATGCAAAATTCGAGAAAGAAAGGTTAAATGTTTATATTTTTCTCTTTAAGTATTCTTACAATTATTTACCTTGTCAAGCATTCGCAGCTTAGCAATTTCGTATTTCCCATGTCCTCTGTCTGTCGGAAACAACATATTTGCCGGTGTTAATTTCTCAATTACAAATATGTGTACAACATCAACTGATTTAGCTTTTGTGAAGTCGGCAACAGTTAACACTGTCTTGTAGGTCTCGCCTGATATAAAAAGAATTGTGTGATTCATTTAAATTGAGTTATCCAGTGGAAACAAATTAAAATAGAGTATATTTCTCTCTGTTAAACCTGTATAATAAAAAGCTTCAATTGAAAATATATGGTTACTTAAAGATATCAAAATCCCACCAATTGGAAGAAATGTAGGTTCAGTAAGAAGACTAGAGTTTAAACGATATATCTTTTTAAGCTTTAAGGTATAAACTTTCGATAAGTATAAAGTTATAAAATGCTGATGATTTGAGGAAGAGAAATATCATTTACCTTGTACTGGATCTCCTGTAATTGGGACTTGTATCAAACTACCTGCTAAAAACTGATATGTAAAATCTAGTGAACTTTCTCCTTGAATTTTTACATTCCAGGTGTTTGCATCCAGTTTGTTTAGCTTCCATATTCCATAATCTGCCTACATGTTTAATAAATGTTTAATAAGATAAGCGCTTATATTAAGGACTGTATAAATTTCATAATATTTGCTTAAATTTATGACATGATTTAACAATCAGTTATTTGTCCTAACATACCATCCAATGAAATTAAAACAAATATCTATTTAAACTTGGCAAATCTGTTAATTAGATATTGTAATTTTACAAGGACATTAGTACAACATCAAATGATTGTGGGACTTAAATATATTATAGCCATCGGGATATGTGTCAGTGATAAATATCGTGTACGTATATAGTTCACCATCAGGGAAACTTGTTCTAGAATCGTTTCAAGATTTTTAATTGAAAAATAACTGCAGTATATGTGACAATGTTTTCTAATTGGCTTACCGATGTTATGGCAACGTCAATTGTCGCGGTCACTGTTCCAGCACTGGCTGTTCCATTTAGTATCGGACGAATCCATTGTAAACTATCAAACAGTTTTTCTAAATCAAATGGCAAAATTATTCTAAAATGTTAGCCCGCGTTTAAAGCAAAAATACTTATTTGCATGTATCTAATCATGTATCGTACAAGTAGTTTAGCAAGATAAATTACGGAAAAAGACATGTTTTTTCTTGAGTATTTGTTTCATTTGATATCCTACATATAGTACAAGTATATTTAATGTAGTGCTGTCAATTTAAAAACAAATGTTAAACAAATACTTTCACAAGTGTAATTTTCTTTTCATGAGAATAAAAGACACGTTAAAGATCATATATGTTTTGTGATTGATATTGTTACTGTGTGTGAACCACACTTGCAAAATATGATATATGTATATAATTATGCAAATAAAACAATTTTCGAACATCGGAGAATATGTAAAATGTGTACTGCAAGTATTTGTGAACATTATATTTAATAAATTATATGCATTCATTTCTAATCGGAAAATTGACTTAGAATTTATAGAAAATAATATTCTAATTACCTCTCTTTATTGACATGAAATGTTAAATTCGGTAATATTAACAAATCTTAATCTGAGCATCATATTTTTAAAATAAAACCATGAAAAAAATTGTGTTACATGATCTCTAAGTATATTGTGTTTATTTACCTGATGGTTTTGCTAGAAACATTACAGGACTTGATCTTTCAACTTTAACTTCTATGATAAGTCTCTTCATTGTGCTGTCAACATACACAGAATATGCCTTTCCAGGCGCTGAGCTGTCTGTGAATATGCTTATATTGACAATGTGTGGCGTCACTGTCTAATAGAAATTGGCATTAATATTTTAATGATGTTTCTCATAGCTCTTATACGGTAAGATCATGTAAAGATATCAAACAGACTAAGTCATATCATTGCAATTCATTATTACCTTGGTAAAAGGTACATCAGAAGTGTAAAACATTGATCTAGCCGTGGATGCATCGTTTGTAGTTATCGTTGAGGCCTCGGGGGGTTTTGAGGTTGAACTTCTTAAAACATCACTTTTTATTTTTGATATGTCAGTAACAGGTATTGATGATGCGCTAGTAGTTGGAACTGTTGATGGGTTATTTGCGGAGATTAGTCCTCCTTTAGAATTTAGTACAAATGACGTGTTACTAAATGAACTTGTGGGTATATCGGATATCTTCGGTAGATCAGTGGAAGTTGTCTAAAACATTAAATTGTCGGAATAACTAGAATACATTTAGCAGATAAATACTCATTTATAAAAGTTTGATTGAAACAAACTAACATTTAAATGGTGTCTTACAAACAAAACATTATTAATAAAAAACAGATTTTATACGTAATACTTAATAACTTTACAATTTTGGTCAGTAGCTAGTTTCCAAACTAACACAGTGTCTTCAATAAAAGAGAAACAAATAAGTAATTAAAAGTGTTTATATATCAATATACCTACCGTTAAATTCTTTTCTACAGAGAACTGCCTCATAACTGATGGTCCATAAGTTTTCTGGCCGCGAATGTAAGGCTTGGCTGTTATTGTAACATTTCTATGAATTCAAGATACAAGGTATGTGCAAAAAAGACGAGATATTTCTTTGAAATTTAAATATAATACTTTTGTTATAGATCAGTAAGAATCATCGCCTTGATATTTATAAAGCTTCTCTTTTTAATTAATTTTTGCATCTTTTCAACGACAAATGTGAAAAATTATTACTGCATCACAAAGACAATCTTCCCAATCGTCACTTAAATAAAGGAAATTTGTGCTAAGGAGGTATGTGTCAAGACTTACTTATGAAAGTGTAAGAACAAAGCTGATAATGTGTTTTACTACATTAATATTGATATAATTTTATGTGCATGTCTTTTTTATGAAATAAAAAACAATACATACGTCGTAGCTCCAAACAATCCACCTGTGATAACAAACTTTCCGGTGTAGTTTTGACCAGGTGTTAATGTTAAAGAAATTATTGTTGGTGTTTCAGCAAAGCCTTGTGTGTCCTGAATTCTTACATCTATATCTTGATCCTTGGATAGTTTGTTGATTACATAAAAAACCAACTCCAGCTTTGTATTCTCGTACAGTTTCACACTTGAATCTATTAATGTTGTATATACCTTTGCATCATCAAACACGTATGTGAAGATAGAATTATTCATTTGTTTAATTTTATATGCCAAGTTTAAGATAATCAGTTTTTTTTTCACAAAATTTTTGCCATATTTCGGCGGTCAATCCATCGGTTTTTCTGGATAATATAACTTACCAGTGAAAAAGTTTCTGGCATGTAAACGACGATTAAGTTCACATTATTAGTGGTTAGAACATAAGTAACCGTTGGACTCAATGTTGGAAATCATTTTTCACTAAGAAAAAACGCCTCATCAGCGATCGCTGCATTACCGGTAGTCACAAAAAGTAACAAGACTTAGTCAAATAATCTTCAAAAACGAATACATGCATTTACATTCATTAGTTTGTTTGTTAAATATTCATATTTTATCTAAAATATTAAATAAACCAAATGGAAACCTTAATGAAGCCAAAAAAACCGGCAAAATTGAATATTGAGCAGTATATGTTTGATTGGGTAGTAAAGAACGGTAGCGGTCAGTATACCATACTTCGTCATGATTAAAGCTATAAATACATTGAACTGTGGTGTAAAGCATCGTAAATGTTCAATATCATGGATATTTTATAATCTTAAAATACATGAACAAAATTGTTTATCTTTACTTTGGCTAAAACTTTTTTCTAAGCTAAATGATTGGCTACTTTAATAAATAAAGCATACCTTTAAACGCAGGCACTGAGAGCAATAGAGCAATCGGGTTTATGGTTTTGATCCGCCGGAAAACATTCCCAGAGTTATCCTTTCCATTTATTCCTATCATAAAGTCCTGAAAGTCAAAATATCTCATAAGTTTCTTTCTTACAATAAATAATAATGTAAAAAAGACTAGGAGCTTATATAATGCAATATTCGAGAAAAAAGGTTAAATGTTGATATTTTTCCCTCCATATATTTTTACAAGAATTACCCTGTCAAGCATTTGCAGATTAGCAACTTCATACGTCCCATTTCCTTTGTCTGTCGGAAACATCATATTTGCCGCGGTATATTTCTCAAATACAAATATTTGTACAACATCAACTGATTTAGCTTTTGTGAAGTCAGCGACAGTTAACACTGTCTTGTAGGTCTCACCTGACATAAAAAAGAATGGGTGATTCTTTTAATTGGAAAGAGTAATACAGTGGAAACAAAACAAAATAGAAAGAAATTTGTGTATCGCCTGTAAAAATGTGAGTCTCTTTCTTTCTGTTAAATCTGTATAATAAAAAAGCTTCAAATAAAAATAGATGGTAACTTAAAGTTATCAAAATACGATCGAGCGGAATAAATATAGGTTCAGGAAGAACAGTAAAGCGTTTAAGCAGTAGCACTCTTCAACTTTCAACGTATAAACTTTCGCTAAATTCGCTAAGAACAAACTTCTAACATGGTTTATAAAATGCTGATAATTTGAAGACGAGAAATATCATTTACCTTGTACTGGATCTCCTATAAGTGGGACTTGTATAAAACGTCCTGATAAAAACTGATATATAAAATCTAGTGAACTTTCTCCTTGAATTTTTACATTCCAGGTGTTTGCATCCAGTTTGTTAAGCTTCCATATTCCATAATCTGCCTGCATGTTGTATTGAATGTTAAATTAAATAAGCTTCATACCCAAACTTAAAAAAACATGCTTTTTAGAAAACGTGAGAATTAATGACTGTCTAAAGTTCATAAGCTTTGCTGAAATGCATTACATAATTTTATAAGCAGTTATTTTTCCTTAAACACTATCCAATAAAATTCCTTCAAACAAATATCTATTTTAACTTGGCAAAATCATGTCAGTTCACAAGTAAAATAAGTACAACATCAAATGATTTTGGGACTGAAAAATATAATAGCCAGTGGAGTATGTATGTCAGTGATAAACATCGCGTACGTATACAGTTTACTGTCCGGGACACTTGTACTAGAATCGTTTCAAGAATTTTAATTGCAAAAAAAATAGAGGTAATGTGATTACGCTTTTCAGTTGACTTACCGAAGTTATGGCAACGTCTATTGTCGCGGTCACTATTCCAGCACTGGCTGTTCCATTTAGTTTATAATGAGGCCCTGGTATACCTGCATACAATTTTGTAAATCAAATGGCAAAGTGATTTTTAAATGTTAGCCCGCGTTTTAAGCAAAAGTACGTATTTAAATGTATCAAAGCATGTATCATAAAATAATTTTAGTTTATCAACTTAAAGATATATATATATATAGAAAAAGACATAGGTTTTGTTATTGATTTTGTTAAAAAGGGTTGAATAAATTTAAATAATTTGCCCCTCTTTGTTTGAACCCGATTGGTGAAAAATGTAAAAACTCAGTACACAACTGTAATAATTTCCCCATAGGATTGAATGATGTAAGGTATATTGTATCTATTTACCGGAGGGTTTTGCTAGCATGATTACAGGGTTGGATCTTTCAACTTTAACTTCTATGATAAGTCTTGTCATTGTGTTATCAACAAACACAGAATATGCCTTTCCAGGAGCTGAGCTGTCTGTGAACATGCTGATATCGACAATGTTTGACGTGCTTCTCTGAAAATTAAAACATAAAATTCTTTCATGATATATATACAGATATTAATTTTATATCGTTATTGAAAAAAAGATTACAAATATATATTTTCTAATTCTATATGCTGTTTTCTGATTTACTTCTTCGCTATCTTCAACGTTCAACGGTTAAATTTAGTTAATTTTCTTTAAAATTTTTATATTTTATTTCCATTACAATGAATTTTGCCCTTTAATAAAATAGTAGTCATACATATGCCAAAACCTTTAAGTAACAAATGTTTAATGTGAGGAGATGATATCAAATTTAATTTCTGTTCACATATAAGCTTTGATGAAACTGTATTAAATCAATTCAAATTTTGTTAAGCTAACCTTGCTAATAGCAAGTTGGGCATCACGTCTTTGAATTATATGACTTATATCTGAAAGTACATAATATGTCAAATAAATAACCAAACAAATAAAAGTTCTTTCTTCAAATCGAAACAACCATATATTTAAGAAAATATAATTCTTCTTTGTAAAACAGAAAATGTGAGAACCTTAAAAGCACATTATGCCTACGAAACGATTGTTTTATATCTTTAGGAAGAGCACACATAAGTTTGATAACATTTAAATAATGGTTTTAGAGCATGTGTGGTGATTATATATTAAAATACCAAAATGTAAACAAAGTAGTATTTTTACTTCCATACAAAATATCAAATCACTTTAACTCTAAAGGCAATGGAAGCAAAAAATGGATAAGAGAAATGGCCAATGAATGACCTTTTGGAAACTATAACAGGGCATTAAACAGTAAAAGCTTTTGAAAAATGAAAAATAAACCATTTCTTGGCCATAATGGTCCTTCAAATGACAGTGACCCAAAAATGAACATGACTATGTACCTTACGAGGCAGTGTGTGTTTAATTTGACTTGTATAGTAACTTGTTTCCATACAAGACAAAATCATTTCTCAAATGTATGATATTCTAAATTAAGACTGACCTTCAGATTATTTGTATTGATTATTGTTAAATTGTTATCAAAATGTCTGCTATGTCTAATCAGTCTTATAATACCAACAAAACTTTGTACTAGGTTAACATTACGGAAGAAAATTATTAATTTTACCGCTAATTATTCGTTAGTTATAATGTCACGCCGACAGAAAACTTTACTAGTAAAGTAAAACCTCTGAATAAAAAACAACAAATCTCCAGTTTACACCGACATATATGATAAATCCTTTTATATCAGACAGGATTATGTACACTGTCTTACATCCCATGTAAGACAAGTCGCCCATGCGCCTTTTATGAATGAATAGCGTTCTTAGGATGACGTCATTGTGTCGTAATGAATGAAGTTGTAATTTTATACGCTACTATCAAAAAAAAGTGTTCAATGAAAATATTAGTTTCGTAATTTCTTTTCGAAATATCATTTATTTGTAATGAGGAAGAAAAAGAATCAAACACCGGCTTTCGTCACATAAATGAATATCTAGCTCGGCAGAAAAGCCATGTTATCGCCGTAAACAGTTACCCTCGAGCTAGGTACTCCGGTCTGTCAGTCGGTGTAAGATTCTTATAACCGGTTCTGAACACAGTTATTCAAGATGTAGAATCTGCAGATATATGTTTAATAAATTCAATGTTATTGATTCAATAGTCGAATAACTCGAATTAAGTTGAAATCAATATTTTACACTTAAAGTACTAGCCTCACAAATTTATTTTTAAGAATAAGAAACACAACTAATGTGGAGCCAACGGATTATTTACAATCTTTGAAATGTTATACTTAACTAATGTGGTTGAATTTTCAGAGAAATGCAGTTGCAATCATAAACTAGCAGATATGCTTCACAATAATTATATTTGAGTGTTTTAAATGCAAAAACATTACAAAAACATTTGTATAGCATAAGGTTATTTCTCCCTTACACTCGTTTGGAAATATTATAACGATTTCATTATTATATTCAAGTATACAAAAAAAAAATTCGCCAAAGCATTTATTAAAATATGATAGTTAAACTTAAAAACATTACAGAAGAAAAACTGAGGAATTATGAAAAATAAAACCTTTTACCTTGCTCATCATTGTTGTGTACCGGCTCTGCTATTAATGGAGAAATGAAAATCATTAAACAGCATCCTGCAATTGTTAGCGTTTGCAGTTTCATTTTGTCTCAGAAGGTCTGTTTCACTTACGAAATTGAAGTAAATTTATACCCCAAAAATTCAATTAAAGGTTTATAGATAACAGATTTTAATTTTACCATATAGGTTTGTTTTGACAAATGTCCATAGTATAGAAAAAAAAGTCAAGCCGTATATTCTTAACATGATTTTCTTTCAGTACCATTTATTTTACTGTATTCCTTTTAAAAATCGACTTAATGAAAAAATATAAGAACGTTTTATCAGCATTTGTCTGATTTCACATGCTCAGGGTACTATGTGGGGGATTAGCTTTTCAACCTGTGAGTTATAAACTCGACGACTCGACTTAAGAACTTTGGAATACAGAGAGATTATTTCATCTTTAATTTTGTTACATATTTTGTATTTGTTAAGGAGCTTAAATGCTTTAAACTATTTGTTGTTTTCTTCGTTCATAAATAGATATAAGAATGCATATAACCTTACAAATATGGTCATCTCAACGCATTTCTACATTGTTTCAACGTGTTTGTAGTTTAATAGAATGTCTTTAAAAGTCAAACTGTCATAGAATAAAAAATATTATGCTCTATTCTATACCAGTAAGTTTCTTTGAAAGGGGCCTTCAAAACTGACGAATAGTAAAATGATACCTGTACAAAGAATACTTTTAAGAATAAATGATAAAATCAAGCGTGTTTACTGCCTTTAAAGTATGTATAGTCACTTATACCATTGTTTCCTAAGGAATATTAATAATGATGGGCAAAAAAAACCACAACACCACAACATCTTTTTTGTATACAATTTACAGTTAAATACTAATTTAATTCAGTTGATGCCCTGTTCATTTCAGGGTCAGTTCAATTAAATATGAAAGACGCATATAATCTACTCTTATGAAAGAGCAATCATCTTAAAATTATCTTTTGCGGTAAATGTATTTTTATATCTACATGAAACTATATCTTATTGGCCTACTTCTGGTTTAGTTTATCTCCAAATTAAGATATTGCAAACACAGGTTAACTATTCAAAACACTTATCCTTTAAAACTTTTGAATTAAGTTGTATATTTTATGACTCTCTTATTTTAAAACATCTTTGAAAATTGCAAATATAGAAAGAAAAAGTAAACCATATCTAAAAAAAATGTCAAACTTATTGGGCAACGCTATTAGTTAACCATTTTCTCAAAGATGGAACCTTTTTTAATAAGACTTGAATGACCTGCTCTCGTTTATATCGTGACATTGCGAGATTGTAAGGAATTTAAAATCTGCCGCAGATTAAAAATACCCATAAATAATAATCTTTGTCTTTATTCTTACATGACACCTTGTTTCAAAGGTTTAAAGAAAAAAGTGCTATTCTATGCGTAAAACAGTTATACGATCTCAATGCAATAGAGTAACTGTTGCAATTTATTCAAAGAACTAAAGAAAAAAGATGAAACAGTTTCAGTCTATACTTTTGGTGTGTTTGTTTTTGCTTTTGTTTTTAAGTTTAAAGTCTTCAGGTGACCAGGGATTTGGACATGAAAATCTTAACAGAAAAGGTGAGGCTAATTTACACGTTTCCCTTTCTTTCTATGACGAACTTTACCTGTACCAAGTTTAATATATTGCTTAAAAATCTGAGGTTTGTAATGTAGAAATATCAATTGAAGGTCAAGAAACATTTATTCTAATAATTCTATTCAGGTAGCTTCAATTCTATTGATTATTTCAAATAGAAATAATTTGTGCAATACTGTCTAAATATAGGTATCATACAATTGAATGTTCATGCAGATCTTATACTCAGGTTTGACCGTTTTTGACTTTCTTTTTTATGGAATCTTCCATTTTTTGAATCAAAATTTTGGTTAATGCAAATTTTAAAGCTGCACGCCTCCAGACGAGCAAAAATATTTAGATCAAATCAAAACTGAGACAAACGTACTAAGATTTTAGGAAAGGTATAAAGATTAAAAATTCTAGTAACAATTTACATGTTATGTGCGATTAATGATAAAAATTTTCAGTATGTATAACTATATTCTTATTGCGTTACTAGTTACGCAGTAATGGCTAATGCATATTTTGACCTCTTTATAGTAATTTACATAGGTTGTAAGTGCTATTTATAATGTGTAAATTGCATTCTTTTGGTAACTTTACAATATTATACTGTTAAATAAATTTTCAAATTTTAATGAAAATTAGCATGAATCTGGAGGTGTGCATCCCTGAAACTAACATATAAATAAAATACGTTGGTGAGAGTAAGAAAACTGCTAACACAAAAGTAAAATTATTAGGTTCGTATATTTAGTTTGATATAGATACATTAGTTTTATTTTACCAAATTAAAGTACAATAAATGAAAGGTACCTTAAATGCATAACATATACTCGTAAAAATACAATAAACTTATGAAAATAATGAAGAAAATAGAAAAATATATATGACTATATTTTTATATCTTTATCCACATTCTTATACTTTCAGACCATATACATATAAAAAGACATGATTCGCAATACAAGATGTCAAAGGTTTGTCAGTTTAATCAATGCATCAATGATAATCTGATTAAATCTACTAGCTATCGAAAGAAGATACTAACTTTAAATAAAAAATAACTTCATACCTAATAATTATCTATATATCTAATATGCTTTGTAAGTAGGAACAATTTTATTTAATAGATAAAGACAGCTTCATCAAACATACGAAAACTACAGAATGCCGTTAGGGCCATCGCCTATGAATGTGTTGATCTGAAACGCGATAGTCGATAGTACGATGGTGAAAACGCGAAATCACGAAACTACGATGGTGAAAACGCGAAAGTACGATGATGAAAACGCGATAAAACGATGATGAAAACTGTCGCATTCCGATGCGCATGCGTTTTCATCATCGTACTATCGCGTTTTCATCATCGAACTGTCGAGTTTGGCGTTTCAGATCAAGCCATTAATAGGCGATGGCCCTAACGGCATTCCGTAGAATACCTGTATTTAGTGCAAAAGTGTATAAATCTTTAATAACCATATGTAATATAACGAATAAGGCTGGACTTAATAATCTGAACAATGTTAACAAGATGTTGCAATTATTCGTTTGTTTGATTTCAGAGAAGCACAACAAACAGTTTAGTTGATATTGACATGTTCGCAGAAAGTTCATTACCAAATAGGTTGTATTCTGTGCTTGTTGACAGCACAGTAACTCGTTTAAGGATAGAAATATCCAAAGATATGTCGGGTCCAGTTGTTTCTCTTGAACATTCAAGTAGGATTTCAATACTTTTTTTATCTTTTCCATTCACTGTTTGTAATTTTTATCATTTGTTTGGCTATGTCACATGATATAGGTTTTATGTACTTGACTTATTAAAATACGTTGATGTATTTCAATGTGCTTTCATTACATGTGTATCTTATAAAAGGGTAATATCGTAGGATGGATCACCTAAAGAAGATTAAAATGAAGCATGGCGATGTATGCACACGGATTTCACTTCGGACTCAGATTCATTCGTTAAAAATCTATTTATTGGATAAAGCCTTAGATATATTTCGTTGTCAACACAAGAATATGAGAATCAATAATCCCGAATGACTCAATAAAAATATAACAGTAATATAACTCCAGGTCTGTTAATATTGTTATTACCTTTACCTCAAGAATCTTAATATTATTGTGATTGATTCTTAATTAACATATTATTGATTCGAAAGACTTCTTCAGAGAGAAATATTTCAATGAGAGTAATATAAATCTCAAAATAATCAGTTTAGGGAATGGGTTATGGTTTTATCTAATTTTGAATTACAAACAATACTTAATAGGTATTTAAAGACAGTGAGTTGTAAAAATGGACCTTTATAAAAATTGATATTTCAAATATAAAGTCGTTTGGACCAAATAAGTGTGCTTTAATAACTGTTTTTCTTGCGGCAGATTTGCTATATGTTAAACATTTGAAGAATTACAACGGAAAAATTGAACGCAAACTGATTTCTTTTATGGTTTTTTATTTAAGTAACCCACCTAAAAATAGGAAGATTGTGAATCATAACTTTTTATAAATACTTCTTCCAATGCTTGGGAATATTCCTAATTTACCTTGTTAAAATTACCATTGCTAAGATAAATGCAGTTGTATCGAAAAATAATTATTAGAAAAGAACAATAAATAATAACATAATCCAAAGCAATTTTGTTACAATTCTATCAGAGAAAAAAATATATGTATAATTGTTTGTTTTAAAGCTTATTATGAAAAGGAATCTATCAAAATATATTCATGCAATGTACTTTTTCTTTATTATAAAGGTGTAATACTGTCAACTCCAAACATTACAAATGGAACAAAAATGCCAGGACAAAAGACAGCGACTTTTGACGTTACTATTTCAACGGTAATTAAAATGGATGTTCATTTTTGTTAATATTTGATAATTTGTTTATGAATGGTCTTTAAAAGATATAATTATATTATGCTCAAAGTTGATATTTGAAACTATAATAATTGCTATACAGTCTCTTTTTTAAATGTAAAATAAACATCTTGTGAGTACACATAAAGAAGATTTGTAACGTTTTAAACTCTACATTCTATACGTAAACATAGAATGAAGATATAGTATCATTAAAAATAGGTGGCATATTTACTTGAAAGGGTCCAAATTATCTTGACCAGTAATACATTGTATATACATTCTCGTTTTTAAAAGAGACGTATTCAGTGAGAATGTGCTAGATTTCAATAAATTTCTGCAATAAAAGTAATTTTCCATAAAAATGAGCATAGTACATTTTTAATATAACTTCATTATCATAATAAAAATAATACTTATTTCATCATCTATCACTTCAATCAATTTACAGGGTGACTATGGAGAATGGACTTTGAGGAGATTAGACCCTAGTAAATGGTATGTTAAGATTCAGGGAGAGAGTTCTTTAGGATTATTCTGCCAGTTCTTTCTAGGAAATTCACAGATACCGATAAATGGAGATCCTATTCAAGGTAAATTTTACGACTTTAACCTTATAAAAATTCTTACATGTATTATTTATATTATTTTGATATATGT